TTGCCTCACCACTTGACCACTTGCCTACCTTCTAGAAGGTCTACAGCTAAGCTTCCAGAACTCACTAAGACTCCTACGCTATAGACCTACAGATCGAACCCCTGAAGGTCTACAGCTAAGCTTCCAGAACTCACTAAGACTCCTACGCTATAGACCTACAGATCGAACCCCTGCTGTCTATGGACCTACGACAGGTCTACCAACTGCCTACGAATACACAGGTCACAGGTTCAATTCTCGGGGTCTACACAGATACTGTACATGGGTAGGGTGAGGTCTAGGGATCGAACCCTGGGTACTGCATCCGCTACTGCTAAAAGGTGAAAACCGTTTCACACACACACACACACACACACACACACACACAAAGGGGGTCCGAAATCCCCCGACAGGTGAGTGCGCTGGGGGGGGCCGGACCCCAACCAAGTGCCCTGCCTGGCCAGGCCGCCCGGGACCTCCCCCGGGCCCCTGCCGGTCACCCGGGCAGCCCGGATCCCCACTCAGAAAATACTGCAATTCTGAATTACCTAGGGCGGATCAGTTCAAATAATGACATTTCTAGGCCGAAGCCCTTACCAAACAAAAATGAAGAAAGAAACGAAAAAAAACACCTTTATTCACATGTTAGGGAGGAAGACATCCTCACCTTGACCAATAGATTCTGCTCTCCGTGCGCTTCTGGATTTCAGACCACCGTTCTGATGGTATGAATCTATCTGCGATGAGGGGGCAACCATCCTGTGATTTCATGACCAAACCAATACCATAGGTCAAGGATCAGACTCCCTTTTCTCCTCTAATGAAATTATAATTAATGATAATGTATCAAATCAAACAAACCTTTCATTTCATAATTGCAGATTTCAAGCATATCTGTGTGTCTACGATTTCTGCAAGGCACAACCACTATTTCTCCTCTAATAGAAATAATTTGCAAAGTCAAAGCCACCGCCCAAAGCACAAGAGACCGACAAGGTGCAAAAAGATGAGCTAAGAACCGACATCTGCGTCCACAAGGCATCACAGCAGGATATTTTTCCCGCAAGCTCTGAGTCTACTATTTCTGCAATCATCCACCAAAGCACAAGAGACCGACAAGGTGCATAAAGATAAGCTAGGAACAGAGACAGAAAAGACACACAAATGACCTAGAGACAGGCAATATATGAATGTCGCAAGTACACTTTCAAATCTTTTTGATAGTCTTAAGTCCCAGGAAAAGCAGCCACTGCAAAATCAGAGCTACCGCCCAATCATAGACTCCATGACCTTCATTCACTCTCTACCAACTGCAGAAGCCGCCCCTCCTCTTCAAGAGGATGGATCTCGAGAGCAAAGCGACCACAACAAACTTTAGAGTGTGAACAATGTTCCATATTCGTGTTGCTCCAGCCTTGGGCACATGTCAAAATTTTCATATTCCTTTTTGAGGGCCATAGTCGCAGTGAGTGGCAGTAACTCACAAACAGCAATTGACTATGGGTTATTGTGGTGAATTGAGAGTTTGATAATCTTCGAGGCATGTTTTGGTGAGTGAATGGCCATCCTGCAACCAATGTCTGCTTCCCAACACATTATCAGACGGCAATATAGAGCATACGATACGACAAGGGAGAGGCAAGTACTATCCCGTACGTGCTATTGTCCGAGTCATTGGATGACGAATCAGTTCTGTTGTGAGCCCCCGAATCCTGGTTTGAAAACCCTCCATCCAGACTGGCAGCTGGCCGTCTCTTTGCCCCTGCTTCCTGCAAAACTTGCATGAGCTTCAATAAACACAAATGCAAAGTCACAAACTGAGTTGTTCGAGGGGGTTCAAACAAATGACATAAGCAATGAGCAGGCCTCCACAGCAGGCAGTGTGTCCCATGGACAAAACCACTTGTTGTTTTGACATTTGCAAGAATTCAATGCTGCCAGAGGAACAGGCATTCAAACAGACCATGATTCACCATCAAGCATCCACCTCCCTTGCAGTCAACAGTTCACAAACAACCATCACTGAATCGAAGCTTTTTTAGACTTCTTGTTACGTGCAAAATAAGTATAAATAACTTTAGCGCTTGCCCACATCTCATCTTGACGAGTTTTTCAGCAACCAAGCCCCCAGAGTTCTCCATACATTTTTTCCCTGTGCTTTACTTTGTCAAGCTTGTGCTCTTTTTTTCCTTCCCCTTTCCTGAGCCAACTTTTCCAGAGTGTATTACTTTGTCAAGTTCCTGTGTGTTTTCCCGTCTACCCCTTCTCTGAGTTCTTCCTTATGCTTTATTCTGTCTTTCCCTTCCAAAAGTACTCTCTACAGTCAGCTCTAACACGCTGTCGCACCCCCACCGCTTCCAGGCTGAAATACAGTCACTATCCTTTCCTCGGACCAAGCGCAGTGGGTTGGTGGATTGGCAGGCTGTCACGCAGTGTTTTTATAAATTGAAATGTGATGTCAGCCCCAGCCACTCCAGGGCATGGAGTCGACCAACACTATCCCCTCCTGCCAGCGACAACACGGCTTAGAGCCAGGCGTTTGGTTCTGTAGCCTTCGCCTAACCCCATGTAAAGGCCAGATTTAACTGTGCTATGCCCTTCATAGGGAGTCCTTGGGCGGCTTTGAGTGTGACCTGGAAATGCATGTCATGCAATTAGGTCAAATGTTTCTGTTGCTTCCCTTTTACCAAACCGTACCTCAAATGAAAAGGGACAAATGTGGAGTGACCAACAACAAAGACCGACAAACAATACACAGAAGAAGCGGGGAGCATCCACGGGGGGGCTACAATCGTTGAGAAATCATAATAATAAGTCACTGAATATAAATCTCAGTGCCAAAGGGGTACCCTCAATCCAAGATAAAAAGGGGCAGGCCCTCATCTGTGGGCCCCACCGTATGAGATTCTGCCTCCACATCTCTGTGGTCTTCAGCGCTTGGAGGAAAGATAGTGGCCGTTGACTAGGGATCAACAAATCTAATGTCAATGGTAGTGGCCAGATCACTTTGTAACAGGATAGCCATACACCTTACGATCTCCTCGTACCCCACACTCCGGAGGTATAGCTCCTCCGCTAAAGAGATCTCCCCAATCGTTCCAACCATGACCTCCATGTGTCCATGTTCACGAAGGTAGTCATAAGATGAGTCAAGCAATCGAGACTCCATCAAAATTCCTGGATAACGAACTCTGAGCCAACGCGGTGACTATATCCATCTACCGAATAGGGAATTGGTCCCTGCCCCTTTGAGGGGACCACCACATCCTTCACCATCTAATAGGAACCCAGCAAGCAGGTCAGCGATCCGTCATGCTGAGTACCCCAGTCAAAATAGTCACTGAAGTCCACATCACTCATGCTACATGGGTCAAGGTCGGATTGGTCAGTCTCAGGCCTATCAGTGCAAGTCGTCACTAGAAGTCTCGACTCCGCCACCTTCTTGTGAATCTCCTTAGCCCTTCGCCTCACTCGCAGGCACCTCGAGATCCTACCTGGGGTGGTCTGGGATTGCAACTTTCGAAGTCAAAAATCACGCCTCCAGGAGCAGAAGGGAGGTCAGGGAAAATGACACGCAATCAATGTGCCCTCCAACAGCTCTCCCTCCGGTAAATATAGTCTACAGTCCTCTCAAAGGTTGCTCCCTTCGTCCCTGACTCCGCTCTCTTCACCCAATAGGCGATACTGAGAGTATGTCATGAGGTTGGAGACGGATTTGCTCTGATCACAAAGGACTGATGACCGGGATGATCATAAGCAGATCTCTCAACCTATTGACCCCACTTGGGAATGTCAGAATGACAAACCTAACGAGTAGGACCAGCAAGAAACGTAACTCAATCTAGGTCCGCATAAGGGGACCTGGCAATTTCATAACTCAATGATGAATGGGCCCGCCTGAGTGGACCTGGCAAGCCCGCAACTTTCATGATGATTGGGTCCACCTCAGTGAATCCTACAAATCCGCAGCTCAACGATGATTGGATCCGCCTAAATGGACTGGGCAAACCCGCAACTCAAGGTGGGCAGGCCCGCCTGAGTGGACTCAGCAACCCGCTACTCGAACACAGAAGGGCCCGCCCGAGTGGCCTTCGCAAGCACAAGCGATCAGGCCCAATTCAGTTGGCCTGGCAAGTAACAACTGGAGTTGGAGTGGTCTGCCTGGGTGGACCTTGTGGCCCAGTGTCTCTAACCCATCGATGAGGACCACCGCGCTGAGGCTGCGACTCATATCAGCTTGCAAACATTGTCCGCATACAGATGCACTTTAGCTTGGCTGTAGTCCCTACGCGAGCAAGAGAAAGCCCAAAGCTTTGACTGGGCTCAAGTCCCTACTCGGTGCGCTCCAGTCCCTACACGTATGTGTGCGAGGCTAAGTCCCGAGCTTGGACTGGGCCGCAATCCCTTCCCGAAGGCTTAGCTCGACACCTGGCAAGAAAAGGGAAAAAAGAAAAGGAAACAAAAGAAAATGGTGGAATATCTTGTCAACGGGGCTGCGAGCACTCATGCAAAGGCCCAGTCGATGCAAGCCTTGGAAGTGTGTGCCTCTGCGCTCTCATGGTACAAATCCCTGAGCGCAGCCAGTTTGACGAGTCCTGAGCTGTACGCACCCTGCTTGTGACGAGAGGCAGAGCAGCAAGGCTGAGAGAGAGAGGGAGAGTGAGAGCTCACACACACACGCTCACTCAACTTGAAGGCTTGACATGACTCAACCGACGCAGACACAAAGTGGCAAAGTTGCAAAGTCGCAGTCTTGAATTTTCGAACACAATGTCCAATCAAAGTCACACTGAACACAAGCACTGAGGCTGAAAATTTTGTGTCCGTAATGTGCTCGAGTCCGTACTTAAGTGCCGGACTCAAGTACAGTCCTAGAGGCGAAAGTGAAAATGCCTTAGGGCCAGAACTGAAAATCAAAAGTCTGAGAGTGGGCGCCAGAATGCCAGATGGCGCCAAGTGTCCGGAATTCGAAAGTCCAAAAAGGAGGAGTTTGAAAACGGGCGCCAGAATGCAGATGGCGCCAACTGTCCGAAATCCGAAAAGCAAAATCGAAATAAAACAAAACAAAAGAATTGCAAAAGAAAATAAATACAGCAACCTGGCGGATGGTAACCCGCAGACCAGGGATCGCACCCCGTAACACTCTCCCCTCACTCTAGGACGCAACGTCCCGGCTGCCAAAAGTCATGAAAATAATGCTAAATCCTGTGAACGACGGACGGGGCCGGTCACTGGGAAGCAGGGAGAAAAAGGGAAAGAGGTATAATGTGGGTAGACGGTGTTCGTTCCATGCAAAAGGCTTGTCCTGGCGAGTGAGCTCGACGCTCGTTGAGGGGTTGCGAGATTTCAGAGAAGTCGCGGATGAAGGAGAGGTAGTAGTTGGAAAGACCAAGGAAGGAAAGAAGCTGCAGCCAAGTAGGTAGGGGAAACTCGACAAGGGCGGTGACCTTCGCGGGGTCCATGCGGATGCCATCAGCGGATACAATGTGGCCGAGATATTCTACACTTGACTGCGAGGCTGTACACTAACCGGTAGGGTTAGATTTGTAATTTTGTTTGGCTGAGGGCTAACCGAGAGACCTGCCTGCAAGGAAATTCGTGAGGGACATATCTGCAAATCTGGGGAAATATAGGCCCAGTACTAATCCGAATTCCTACAGCTACCCTAACTGCCTATAGCAGGCCCGAGCTACCCCTAGGACAGACAAACAAGCGGCCTATGCTGCTAGACGGTCCTATAGCCTATAGCCGGGTCGGGTAGAGGCCGAGAGGTCGAAACAGCAACGGTACCGGTCGGTCAGTCAGTCCGGTCTAGGTCTAGGTAGTCTATAGATAGGCCCATCGATTCAGGACTTTTGGCAGTTCATTTCTTGCGAAGCAGCGTTGGAGAAGCCAAGAGGGTTGGTGGCGGTATCTGTCTGCAGGCGGCATCCCGAGACTCGCCGTTGACAGCAGCCATAGCCGGCCCAGTCTGAGTCTGCCATAGCTGGGGCATCCTCAGCGCATCTACCCTTGGGGTATCTGCGTACGGCCGGGCTACATCGAGGCTCTACACTGTGTACTCGTGGGTGGTGTCAGCCATAGCTGCCTGTCCCTTCGTCAGAGTTGTCCATCGGCACTGAAGACTGCATCGCAGGACCTGTTCTTCATCAGGGTGGTTGGCGCTGGCCTCCGGGAGGCCAATCTGATGTGGCGCTACTAACTGGGTGTAGGATAGAGAGTGGGGTGTGAGTTCTGGGAGTGGCGAGATACTGGAACAAACTCTGTTACGATAATTGTTCGAGTGGCTCATCATCAGTGTGAATTCCAATTGTGATCTTCGCAGGTTCTAATTGTGATTGGTTGTTGGGAATTGTGTCAGAGAGTGAGAAACACTGCGTGTCTTCTCCCCATCTGTGCATAATTGTCTTCCGCTGCTTATTTTCACCTGTGTGAAGTTTGGACTCTGTCTCCTCTCTCCCCTTCTCTTATGCATGTACGGGCATGTGTGAGATTGTCTGTGTGTGAGTGGCGATAAAATTCGTCAGACAACCAAGTTCATAACACTTGAGGCAACAAAAGATGCATTTGTTGAGTTTGGCGTAGAACTTTAGATCTTTGAGGATAGAGAGGACCTGCCAAACGTGCTGAAGGTGAGACTCGGCGGTGGGACCGAAGACGAGCATATCATCAAGATAGACAGCGACATAGACTTCGAGAAGGTCGCAAAAGATGTGATTCATAGTAGACTTGAAGGTCGCTGGGGCATTTGTGAGGCCAAAAGGCATCATAAGGAACTCATAATGCC